GTTCCCCCGGAGGAGCTGGAAGAAGTGGCTGGGGAGAGGGAGGTCTGGGCCTCCCTTCTCAAGCTGCTGCCCCCGCGACCCGACCCCGGATAGGCGGAAGAAAATCTATGGATGGATGGGTGTAAGAATTTTAGTGGTTAAAAAAACAGCCGATATTAATTTAACGCGGGTTAAGTTCGTTATTAATTTATAAGGTTAATGCAACTGTGCTCACCACTGGTTAAATGGTTAACGATATGCAGGAGATACTAAATGTTCTATTTAATCAATATTTTGTCTAGCTTTCTTTAACAACACATCCACCTCCCACTCACAGCCTCACAAACTTTAAAACGATTGCCCAGGTTTTGTTCAATCTGTTTACACACCCAGCTGTGTTACAGTTTTCCCTTGTTTCCCTGCTCTTGTTTCAGAGCCGACAACTCTTTGAATCACTGGTCTTTTTACAACTCATGTGAGCAGGGAGTGGGGTTTAGAGGAGTGTGACTGGACTAAGAAAGATTTCCTTTTACATCCTGTGCATGAGCTGCAACATGGTGCCTGACTCAGAGCTGCTGCCTTTTGAAGTGATTCAAACGAGCCCCCCTGGTAGGACTCACTTTTACCTGAAAGGCCTCAGAGTCTCCGGAGGATTGGTTTTCAGACGAGCCTTTCACACGAGTCACGAAGTCTGAAGTGCTGCTCCACTTGAACACGTGCGCTGCGACCGGCACGTGTTTTACTCGCATAAAAACTTTATCAAAATGCAAATGAGTGTACTCTGCAGCGCTTCTATACAAAGTACTGTAATAACAGGAGCTGAGATGAGGGTTTTTTTTGTGTGTCATTATCTCGAGTGAAGCAATATAGATGCTTTTATACTCCGAGTGTGATGCATTTCATAATAAATCTTCACTCTGGTTTTGTTGTAGATAAAAAGGCCGACTGCACGTTGTCCCTGAGCGACGAGGATCTGCGGGATTTGATGATGGGAAAGTTGACCCCACGAGTGGTACGTGCACTCCAGAAACGTCTTTATTTTATTCTCTACACATCAAACTAAATCATCAGCCTTTATCTAAGCATGCACTCCTTTGTTTACATCCATTAGCAGCTGAATATATCAGCCTGAACAAGCCTGTTTTTGTCTGCAGCAGCACTTCAGGTGTAATCTTTTGTAGGCCTGTAGAATAATGGATTTGGTTTGGATCAAAGGGAAAAAAGTAATTGTTCTTTGTTAGTTTTTTTTTTCTTGTTTACAAAGGATTTTACAAACTAACCTGGAGTCATAAACATCAGAACCCATGGACAGACGTGAACCAATAACAAAAGCTTTGGGAAACTTCGTCCCGAGTACCAGCTGTAAATCCATTCCTCATTGATGATCAGAAATACTCCAATGATTTTTCATTGAGCCGTTAAATCCCATCTGCTTTGATAAAAGTGGGATTAGTTCATTCATGTTTTTTAAGTGCTTTTCCAGAATGAGCAACACATTTTTGGCCTTTTTTTTTTTTTCATTTTATTTGTGGACGTAAGTAAACTGAACAAGATAAAAAGAATTACCCAGAGCTTGTTTGTTTGCATCAGATATGATTAAGAGCTGGATTCATGCCCAGATCTCCACAGAACACACAGGCTGGTTGCTGCGCTTGTTTTCAGGTTTGCTGGAGCGGCAGACCAATCTGTTGGCTCAGATAAATAAATGAGTTTTCACTCAGAGTTTTGCTGAACTGATGACTTCAGTGGGCCGCCTCTAACCCACCTGATCTGATGATCAGAGAACAGAAACTTTTAAAGCAAGCAAGAAGTCCAAATTTTCATTTCTCATCAGTCAGTGATGGACTGTAATGAAGTACATTTACTTAAGTTACTTTACTTGAGTAATTGGTTTTTTGGGAACCAATGACTTTCACTCCACTACGTTTCAAAGACAAATATTGTACTTTCGACTTCACTGCATTTCTAGAAAGCTTGTAGTTACTCTTTCCTTTGGGTGCAGCATAGCTTTGTAGAAATTGGCCCTAGGCTTTATTGCAAAAATTAAAAAAAAATCTAATTTATTTTATACAAATAGAAATGATCAAAGTATGTATTTTATCTGTAGTTGAAACTTGGAGTTAAAGGCACAGTGTGTAGGATTTGTTGTTTTCAGCGACATCTAGTGGTTGAGTGGTTGAATCATCCTCCCTGGTCCTCCCCCCACCCCCACCCCCCGCTTCCAAACACAAAGGAGTTGCTACGGTGTCTCTCAGGTGTCAAAAACCTTTGATAATTCCAACCGCAATGGGCTAGTGATGTTTCAGGT